CTTCCCAGTTCTTAAAAAGCCTCCACTCAACAATGCCGACTCTTGTAATATTCAGTGATTTGAAAAGGCCTCCTCCTTCTGTTTTAAAATGTGGAGTGTCGTTATTCCCTTTAAGCAGTTTGTTTATATTCCAGTATGAGCCCCTAAGCCTTCTTTCATATTTGTTTGTTCCGCCTCTGCACTTCTCAAGCGCAAACACCTTATCTGCAGGATCTCCAAACTGTCACAGTGTTCCTCACATTTCTCTAATATATATCAACTAATACTGACTGGTTTGGTCCTAGAGCTCACAATATAGAGCTGTGCATTTGTTGTTAACTCCTCTATGTCTTTGTTAGCTGTCTAGCTATACATACTCAATTGGTCTCCTCAGAAAGTTCCAATGGCTTTTCAAAGCCATGTGTGCATTGGCAGAAAAAGTCAGCTGACCTTTGAACAGAAGGGAAAAAGGTAGGACCAGACAGCATTTATGTTACACTTCCCACTTGAGTCTTGCTCAATGGTTGCAGTCAGCAGGAAGCCTCCATTTGTCTCATCATGAATGCAAATGAGTAACGGAAGAACAATATTCCCCTTTGGGAAGTGATAGTATCACCTCTTTCTGAAACTTTGACTTCTAATGATCTAATCAGGCTTCTTATAGTTTGCAAACACCTGAAGGTCTTCCTCTGTCCAGGCTCCTGACATGAATGGATCAATGGTCCTTTCTTGGATGTTTTCGTTTCTGATTTGCAGTCCTGGCCTTAGCCATCATGATCAATTACCTGCATTGCTGGACTCTCCTGCTTTGCTGATATTACACTAAATTAATCCCTAGAGAGGACCTAAAGTCCAAGAGAAAAGTTCCAAAAGCTTTGGAATACCTCACATCCGCTTTCCCGGGAGAGATCTGATTCACTATCACACATATTTAACCCTCTACACACATACACACTCGGTTTCTATTTGAGAAACCTGATTTCCCTCTAATCATTGCTGGGTCAATGAAAAGAAAATTACTCATATATACATCACCTAAGGTAGAACTGGAAGATAGTGGCTTTCACTGCCATTACCCTGAAAACATTAACAGCATTAGGGCAGTAACTGACCAAACCATTACCTAGCTTACAATCAACACTAATTATACCACTTCTAGAGTTCAAACAGAACTCAGCAACGCGCCAAAAATCCATTAAAGCAACCCCCATCAGTATGGAGCTACCATTTCGCTGTATGTCATCATATTCTTTCAACTCCATCCAAGGCTCAGAACCAAATATAATGAAATTATAGGGAAAGTAGCTGTGCATAAGATAATAATACATGAACAGGAAAGCATCTTGAAGGTTACTGCTTATCTCCTAACAAGATTAACCAGAGCAGTCAGGAGCATTTATAATTTAAAGCTCTGCTTATAAACACTATAAACACCATAAACACCATTAAAGAACAAGTAAGTGAATAAATGAATAAATGGCAAAGAATGCAAGTAAATGCCTTCAATTTCACCAGGAAAAATCTCTGAATTGCTCTATTATACATAAGAAGCCTTAACTTCATCTGCATACTTTAAGTTTGTCATTTTTATCCTAACCAAAAGTAATGTCTCTTTTCAACTTGCTTTAAACAGAATTCAAAGTCCTAAGGAAGGCCGGTACTGAGCCCACTGTGACGCAGAACCTCTCATTCACAGTTATACCCAGATGACAAAGGAACATGAAGGCACCGCCTTTCTTTTGGGAGGGGGAGGAGCAGAAGGAGAGGGAGAGAGAAAATCTTAAGCAGGCTCCACGCCCAGTGCGGTGCCTGACTCGGGGCTCAATCTCATGACCCTGAGATAATGACCTGAGCTGAAATCAAGAGTTGGATGCTTAACTGACTGAGCCACCCAGGAGCCCTGGCACCACCTTTCAACAGCTTCCAAAGACATTCTTCAGAACAATAGTCAACCAAACAAAAATTTCCTTTCTAATGAAGACAGTAGTGAGGCTACAAAAAAGTGAATAATACTAAACATTAAGGTTTAGAAGAAATGCATTGAATATATACAACATTTAAGAACAATTTACCATATGTCTTGCACTCTATATATGTATATATGCTAAAAGTGCCCCCTTATACTAAAAATTATTAATAAATTTTAACAATTTACCTAGGGCTAAAACTTTCCAACAGAACTTTCTGCTATGATGAAAATATTCCCCATCTGTCCAATAGGATAGCCACGAGCCACATGTGGCCAGTGAGCTGCTGAAATGTGACTAGTGCAAGTGAGGAACTAATTTTATTTTATTTTAATTAATTTAAACTTAAATAGCCACTGTGACAAGTGGCTACCCTATTGGATACCGTAGTGTAGATAATAATATTTGTTGAATAAGTGAATAGATGAATGAATAAATAAATGTAAAATATGTATTAAGTCTGATGAAGTTGTTGGAGCACTACTTATGTGGCACATGACAGATACAGAGTTGATTAAAACACACATCTAAGAAAAATTATTCTTAAAAATAGCTTTGCTATGCGTGTATGGGTAGAGGGTATCTGGGAAACCTCTGTACTTCTGCTCAATTTAGCTGAGAACCTAAAACTGCTCTAAAAAATAAAGTCTATTTAAAAACAGCTCTGGATTCTATCCTTACTGATACCCCATCACTCTCTAAATTTATCTTTTCTTAAATTCTAGTTCTGATGCAAACCTGCTTTCTCCTTCCTGCAGCAATGTGGGTACATGTTCATAATAAACAAACAAATACAACTCTTCAGTTTTGAAACTACAGAGGGAAAACCCTCATGCAGGCTTCTAAAATCCTGGGTCACATCGCCTCAGAAGAAATATGCTAAGTTCCACCAATGGCTGAAAAAAATTCAAATTAAAATATTTTTTTCAATACAAACTACTGATACAATTTCATCAGGCAAACTGGAACAATTTAAGTTGGAAAAATATGACTATATTATATGTATATAATATAAAAATCACAACGATAGGCACTTGTCCTATTTTTTTATAAGCTATTGAACTAAAGTATTTCCATCAATTCCTAATTATTTGCTTAATCGTCTTGTCATCAGCTAGAGCTCACCAGTATTTAAGCAATATTAGCAACCAGGAAGAAAAAAATTCTGGAAGGAATATTTTAAATGCAGATAATGCCGCCCATTATCTTCGATGTATATCTACAGGGCAGAAAATGGAATTAGAGAACAGAAAAATCAAGATTATTTCAAATAAAAGACTCTCTCCTGCCTCACTGTCAAGATGCCAGCATATTATTCATTGACAGTTGTTATCAGTGTGCCCATATCTATTGACCAGCATACGCTTCCTACTACCACCATCTAATTTGCTGTTTATCTGGTGTGTTCTGAGACAAGACAAAAACAAGCTAATTAACACAGTGTATAAAATAAAAGCAAACATGGGGCGCCTGGGTGGCTCAGTTGGTTAAGTGTCTGCCCTCAGCTCAGGCCATGATCCCAGGGTCCTAGGATCAAGCCCCACGTCGGATTCCCTGCTCAGAGGGAGCCTGCTTCTCTCTCTCCTCCCTGCTCGTGCTCTCTCACTATCTCTGTCTCTCTCAAATAAATAAATAAAATCTTAAAAAAATAAATAAAATAAAATAAAAGCAAACAGGTTCTGTGGGAAAGACTATCTTATCAGTAAAATACCTGCGCTTTTAGTTCATGAACTTAATATCGACTTCAGTTACTCATGGGCCTCTTCTGATTAATTTCTGATTCTTAACTTTGTTCTGCTTCTTGACTGTGTACAGTTCCTGATTCTACATAGATATACATATAAACTATTATCTCATTGGGAAATAATTCTTCCTTCACATCAGCCTCCCTAACTAGATTATGAACTCTAGGAGTTCATGAGCCACGTTTTATTCATCTTTGTACCTTAGTATCTACAACAGTGTCAAGCACACAGCAAGCTCTCAATGAATGTTTGCTTCTGAAATGACTCACAGGGGCTGCCAGGAGTGAAATGTAATGATATATAGTAATTTGTAGCAATATGCACATAACCTTTCATTAAAGAACAGAAGCTCTAGGCTATATGGCTGCTAGCTGCTCAACCAGAGCATTACAGGGTGTAAGGACTTCGGTAAGATAACCACACAGGCACAGTGTGTCCCTTAGCTTTGTAGCTAACTTGTTGCAATTAATTCAACTTAAGTATTTATCACATCTGACTACTTGGGGTATAGTGGTAGACAAGAATATCAGATCACTCTAACTCCCACATATCCCTCAAATGCATCGCTGCTTTCACCCAAGTTCAGGCGACCATCATCTCTACTGGAGTATTCCAGTTCATCTCCCTCCTTTCATGTTTATTCCCCTCCAATTCCTTCTCCACGATGCCACTAAAGTGAGCTTTCTTTAAAAAGAAATTCCAGGGGCGCCTGGGTGACTCAGTTGTTAAGTGTCTGCCTTCGGCTCAGGTCATGATCCCAGGATCCTGGGATCAAGCCCCACATCGGGCTCCCTGCTCAGCGGGAAGCCTGCTTCTCCCTCTCCCATTCCCCTGTTTGTGTTCCCTCTCTCGCTGTGTCTCTGCCAAATAAATAAAAAATCTTTAAAAAAAATTCCAATCATATTACTCTTTAAAGCCTTCCCTCTGCCCTTAAGATAGTGTCTAAACCCCCTCAAATGACTTAACAGGCTCAGCCCGATTTACCTCTCCAGTCACACAGCTCACCACTCACTCCCTAATAGTCTTTATTCTAGCCATATTAACCCACATAGAATTCCATAATTAGATCATGCTGTCTTCCAGTGGAAAACTGTGCTTAGATGCGTCAAGAAAAATCTCAATAAGCATTAAAAAAAACTCATTATGGATTTAGTTCTCTGAAACTAACAGGCTGCTTAAGGCCGATTGTTGACAACTATAGTCATCTAAACAAATGTTCCTTCTTCAGAAAGAAAGAAGGAAAAATACAAATGAATTGAGCTGCTAGGGGAGGAAAGGTTGGAAACATAAACTTCTTGAGAAAAGGTACCGAAGTGTCCATGTCCTGGTGCTTATCATCACCCAGCACATAATGGTTGCTCAATAAATGCTTGCTGAATGAATGAATGACAAAAGTGAAGTGAAAATAAATTCTGGGGACAGAACAACCCAGAAATATTAAGGGGAGTGGTCACGTGTCCCATTTCTGACCAGAAAAGATTGAAGGAAAGGGCTACTGGCGGTTTCCAGGAAGGGCCCTCTTCATTCTTACACAAGAGCATAGAAGGCAGGCCTGTTTCTCTCCTGCAGGATATGAGTATGGATGCAAGTAGACCTAGTGGCTACTGGCTGCTATTTTACAACCATTCAGAAAGTTGGTGCTGTAGAAAACAGAGACAGAGCTTCTTATCCTGATAGCCAATGTTGAACTTATGGTCCCTTTACCCATGGACTTCTAGTTATGTGAGCCAATAAACTTTCTTTTTATTTAAGTCAGTTTGACCGGCACTTGCAGCCCAAAGTCTCCTTAATACTGTCTCAGAAGCAACAAAGAGAAAGTCATGTTGATGATGAACACAATATGTCATCATTTCATTTTATAGCCTAATCAGAAACTAACCTCAAAAAACAATAGCAAAATGAATCATTGTTATAAAGGAATACAGATCTTCTACATAACTGGTAAAGTATTAAAACTACATCAAATAATTCAGATATATTTTCTGTTTAAAAAAAAAAGGTATTCAGCTCTCACTGGACAGAATTAACAGATTAGACTTTATAGAAGAAAATACTAGTGAACTGGAAGACATAGCAATATAAAATATCCAGAAAGAAACAGAGAGAAAAAAGACTGGGAAAAAAAAGAATGAACTGTGAGAAAACTCCACATGGTTCAATATATACGTGATTGGAGACACCAAAGGAGAAGTGAAAGAGGTCAGGAAAAAATATTTGAAGAAATAATGGTCAAAATTTTTCTGCGTTTGATCAAAAAGTATAAGTCCATAGATTTAAGAATCAACAAATCACAAGCAAAAGAATCATGAAGAAAACTATACCAAGGCACATCATAATCAAATTGCTTAAAACCAGTGATAAAATGTAAAAAGCAGCCAGAGGAAAGACACATGATGTACAGAGAACAAGATGTAAGAATTACAGCCGACTTCTCCTCAGAAAGAATGCACTTCAGAAGACAGTGAAGCATTGTTTCTAAAGTAATGAAAGAAAAAAAAGATCAACCTAGAGCTCCATACCCAATGAATATTTTCAAAGGAAAGCAAAATGACTTTTTTGGTCATAAAAGTTAAAAGAACTCACCAACTACAAACTCACACTACCAGAAATGTTAAAGGAAGTCCCTTAGGCAAAATGAACACTATACCAGGTGGCAATATGAACTACAATACAAAGGAATGAAGAGGCCCAGAAATGGTAAATATATCAGCCTTTTTTTATTTTTGAAATCTCTTTAAAAGACAATTAAATGTTAAAAGCAAAAATAATAACAATATATGGTGGAGTTTATAACATATGTAGAAGGAAAATGTATAAAAACAATAGCACAAAGGCTGAGGGGAAGAGATAGAGGTATGTGGAAAGAGGAATTATATTACTTGAAGGTAGTCTATGATAAGTTAAAGATGTATACTATAAACCCTAAACCCTAAAGCAACCATTAAAAAAAATTTTTAAATTAAAAAACCCAGAGTTATATCTACTCAGCCCACAAAAGAGATAAAATGGAATATTAAAAATGTACTCAATTCAAAAGAAGGGAGAAAAAGAGAAAAAGCAAACAAAGAACAGATGTGACAAGGAGAAAACAAATAGCAAGATAGATTTAAGCCTAAGCATAATCAATAATCACATGCAATGCAAATGGCCTAAACACTTCAAATAAAAGGCAGACATTGTCAGACTGGATAAAAAGCAGTTACTTATAAAAAGACTAGATAGATATAAAATATAAAGACATAAAGGCTAAAACTAAAAAGATGGGAAAACATCTATAACAATAACACTAATCAAAAGAAAGCTGAATTAATTATATTAATACCAGACTACCAGACTAGTATATTTCAGAGCAAAGAATACAATCAAGGATAAAAAGAATCATTTAATAATAATAAAGGGTTCATTCATCAAGAATACATAATAATGCTAAACATTTATGCATTCAATAAGTCAGCCCACCAAAACAAGAATATAGAAAGATCCTTTCATGGTTAAAATGCACCATCAACATTCCTAAATCAAAAGTGAACTTTGCCAAAATGGGGCTTAATATCTTTATGTAATAAGTGGCATGCAATTCTACTAATAAAAGTGCAGTATTCCCCAAAGGGTCAAAGGTAGTAGTGTGTTAAATGTCAAAATATTTATGACTTCAATGCCAAGTCTGATCAAAGTGACCTAAAGCTGACTCACCTTTCATATTGCCTATCTCGTGGTAATGAAGCACCCCAACGTCGAAAGTCCATGATTAACATAAGTAAAAGGAGACAGGATATGAAGAAGAGTCCTAGGAATGCCACCCGCTGACGTGGAAATGGGCTCACTGTGGGCACAGTGAAGTACCAGGAAGCTGGGCAGAGGTAGGAAAAACTGATCCTGAAATGAGACAAACATTATTAGTATGAAAAGTCTCTACAGTTGGTGCTAAAAAAAATGGTTCTTAAACTGGATTAAAGCCCTTCCTAATAAAGGTGCCACCAGAAGTCTATAAATGTTCTCTTAGTGTCAAATTTTAGAAAAGAACCTATATGGTTCATGGTGCTTCTATAAATCAGAAAAGCCTTATCTGCTCTTTTCCCAATATCTGCACTTTTGGGTATAACTGAAAGAGTTAATCTCATGTTTATGAAAAGATCACCAGTCTCCCCGGTCAATCTCACAACACTGAAGAATCAGAGCAACTACAACATTCCCATCAAGAATGACATCAAAAAACCGGATAGTCAGAATACTTATTTAACTAATTAAAAAAATATTTTAATAAGTAATATATGCACATGGTAAGAAAAAATCAGTTTAAAAGGATACAGTGGAAAATGAGTCTTTTGCCTTAACCCACCATTTCCCACTTGAAGGCAACCACTGGTATCCAGTTTCTATGTATTTTCCCAGGGATATTCCATGTTTACACAAGCATAAATGTATATAATATATGACAATATACATATGTGTATCTCCATTCCTCTGGTTTTACACTGTATCTACTGTTCTACATCTTTCCCCACTTACTCTATTTGACAACGGTTCCATTTGGTACATACTGATCCACATTAATCTTTTCTGAAAGTTTCAGAGCATCACAATGTATGGATACACATATTCAACTATGAAGTTCACTTTCCATATTGATTCAAAAGGACCTCAGCCTATTTTCAAAGTTCATTAAAAAAAAAAAAAATCTTTGTTTAACCTCCTCAAAAAGCACATAGCTTTCTAAAAGAACATTACATTTTAGCACTTTTCAGATGTCAGCAAGCACTCATTCACTCCATCACCCTAGGGTTACGAGCCAGAAACTATAGTGTCTGCCTTCAAAAAAAAATGTCACTTTGATCTTCTTTGCATCCATCCGACCAAGCTGCAAAGTCCAGAAGCAGCACTAGGGCAAACCTCACTTGTAAAAACATCCCAGGGCCCCTCCACCTACCTGCCACCCCCAACTGAGCCCCAAGCTGAGGAGAAAATGTGCAGCCTTACCTAGCCATGGGATCCCTTCAGTGGTCTCAGTGCCTGTCACCTCCTTTTCTTTTTGCCCTGAGAAATTGGTCTCCTTGTCTCAGGCATCTCCTAAGTCTGCAGCCTGTTAAGAGTTCGTTGGATTTCAGGCTTACTTCCAGCAGTGCCCACAGGACAAGCCCTCCAAGGGAAGGCCAAGGCGCCCACCCACTCCAGATGCGTCCGCTCTTGTTCCGGGGCCCAGCTGACGCTAAGCCGACTCTCCGGGAGCCGGGCGTTCTCGAGGCACCGGCGCTCCCCAGGTGGCGGGGTGGGGGTGCCCACTTCCCCTCCCCGCCTATCCCAGCCCCGCGGCCCTCCCGCGCTCGCACTCACAGGTCGAGCGACCCGCAGGCTCCCTCGGCAACGTTCTGCTGGGTACGGAGCGCTTCCCCCCGCGGCCTTTAGCCCAGCCGGAAAGAGGCCTGGGCGGGCGGCGGCGCCACGTCCCCAAGGAAACCGCAGGGAGCCAATGACTGACGGCAGACCCGGAGAGGGGCCCACCCTCCACCCAGCCCGGGCCGCCGGCGAACTAGCTCCGTCGTCCGCACGTCCGTTCGCCAGAGTGGCCAATCCCCAAGAGCGTTCGGCCGCTAATGCCCGCCCCGGGATTTCGAGCGCGTCCAATCCGGAAGGGCGTCGTGCCGTAGCTCCGCCTGGACGGGCCAGCTGTAGGCGCTCAGGTGAGCGGTGCGAAGCGGTGCAAGGGTGCCCTGCGCCCGCTGCCCTCTCGGCGGCGCGATTTCTCTGCTGGCTGCTTGCTACGCTGCTGCTTCCAGGACTGAGCGGCCCCGGCGGGTGAGTCTTGCAGTGGCCGCGAGAGAAGTGCATCCCTTGCCCACAACCTATCAGAGGTATTGTGTCCACCAACCCTGATCGCCAGAATCAAACCTTCCGTATAGCCTCCCAGACTTATGTCCCGGCTTCCTTGTCTTGTCCTGTTAGAGAAACATAAATGGGGGACAATATCGTTTACACCGAAGCGCTTATAGTATTCGTTCAACATTGATTGAATGTCTGCTGTGTGCCAGACGTGAGCCGCTGTGTCCCTGCCCTCCCGGACCTTACAGTAATAAATGCAAAAGTAATGTTTCTTTAATGTTTTCCTTCCTTGCTTACACCAGCCGTTTCTCTCATTTCCAGGAGGGTGCCATTTGGACAGGATAAAGTCCAAGTCCTTACAAACGTGGCATTTACATGGCGATCCAGGACCCACCCATGCAGCATCTTCTGCTGCTCCTCAGCCCCCTTACTATGCTTCAACAACGCACATCTGTGGCTTCTGCCCTCTTAGGCTTTGTCCATTCCGCCTTCTCCACCCTTCCATCTGCCTTGAATATCCTTCCCAGCCTCTTAGCCAAGCCAACTCATACTCATTCCTTACCACTTAGCTTAAGGGTCACCTCCCCTAAAAACTTTACTTGCCCTACAACCCCGTCATATATGCCTGTTGTTTCACTTACCATATTGAATTACAATTTATGTGTCTGTCCCTGGCGACAGAATATGCTTGAGGGCAGGGACTATCTTCCACAGCAATGCTGGGTACTGTCTAGTGCATACAATACAGGTAATGTATGATAAATAAGTGAATGAATGTAGAAATAAATGAAGACCACCCAAATGAGATCAAAAAGAGGCTATCTGTTCTACACCTGTTATAGAAAAGTGGTCAACCACCAACACTTACATCTGGCAGAGACCTAAAGACTGTCAGGGGAATGGGAAAGCTTTAACTGGGGGAGCGGGGAGAAGGAAGGCTTCATGTATGCCCTGATTTGAGAGTTTTAGCATGGGGAAGCTGGCGGTGGGCTTACTAGGAGCAGGGCATCTTATGTGATTGTTTGTGGGGAGCATATTTGGCTTTCTCTGGTTGGTCCTGAGTTAGAAGGCAGGGAAGCTGATAGTGACCAGTAGTGAGAGCACTAGGCTGTGGGCAGCCTAGTTGGTCATGGGTCACAATTCTAATCATCATATATGGTCTGACATTGTCCAGTTTATATGTTCAGGCTCTCCCGACTATTATTTTTTCCCTCCATTCCCCTCCCAGCCTGAATGGGCTTTCTAACTTTCCATCGATTCTCAGTGTTCTGTTCTTCTTTGTCCTTCAACCCCTACTCTACTTCAGTGTTATATTTTATCTGGGCCCCCCAAAATCACATTGAGTAGAATAGTTGGATAAAGTTAGGATTAACTACAAAATTATACAAATATCAGGTGTTTATATTATTCCAGAGCTCAGTTCAGGTAGTCATGGGGAAAACTCAACAAATGTTTTGGAATATATATATTTTTTTAATTCTTGAGGTTGCCTGCCAACTGTGGAGTTCTGTCTAACCTATGTATATTTCAGTCCACTTAATGGGTGTTTTTGAGTGGAAATAGAATTCCTATTTATGTTTTAAATAGTACTTAATTCATGTGATTTATGAACTGTATTAACTTAGAGCTTGAAGGTGCATTAAAGCATCAACTTACATTTTATAACTACTGTTATAAAACAGAAAAGAAACCCATATTTTAATCCCAACCCTTCATTATACTTTCTTTGTCCATTGCATTTGGATAATACTTTCTTCAATAAGTCCATATGCATTCAGGAATTTGTAAAACATGATTCTTTACAGAAGCCTGCAATGCTTATCTGAATAACAACAGCTCACAGGGTGAGTTCTGAGGTTTCCAGTCAGGAGGCCAAAAAAAGTAGGTTGAGATCATTTCCCCATCTCATTTGCTGTAACTCTCAACATGTTGAAACAAATTACAGAAATCCATATTTCAAAACTGGTCTTTAACTGCCTTTCAAAGCCTTATCTACAATTACATTTACAATTTTCTCAAGAAGTCCTTGACTCTACCCAGCTCTGAGCAAAATCAGCCATACCAGCCCCACACTCGGTATCAGTTGTCTGTATCACTTTATTTCCCCTCAGTTCTCCTTCATTCTACACTCCATCCTGCCTTAACCTCTAAAGGAGTTGAAGTACTGTGGTCTTCACTCTCCTTTCCAAGTTTACTCACCTCTCTTCATGTGCCTTGTAGGCACCTCCTTGTCCATGACAAAACTCATTGTCTTGCCACTCTTACTTTATCCACCCAAACCTCCTCCATTCATATTCCCAACTTTGATCAACTACCCTGTGATTCACCCAAGCAGAAATTTGCAAGTCATTTTAGAATCTCTTCCTTCTACTTCCTTTTTGCTGTAGGAGAGCAAAATTTGCCCCCCCCCCCGCCCATGGGTCTCTTTTGCATGTGAATTATTTTAGGCTGATTATTTTTAACAAACAGAAGGCTCAGGAAGAACCTTTCAAAATCCCCCCCTAACTGCCTACAAGAATTTGGATACAGGACCTGCCCCAGGAAGGGAGCTAGCACCACAAATGACTACAGTATAATATGAACTAGGTATGGCAGACAGGGAGGAACTCAGCAAAATCTGTTTATTAAAATTCCTCTCTGTGTCCCATTTTTTCTGTATGGATCAGCAAACATTTGTTTACCACATTTACTCTTTTTCATCTTCCTGTGAATTGTCCTCCTTCCCTTTGAAGTCCCAGCTCAGAATGGCATATAAGCCTCAATTGCCTGACTACCTGTAGGCCTCTTAGTCTCATGGAACTCCCATCTGTATGTAATTAAATTTTATTTTCTCCTGTTAATCTGTCTCATGCCAATTAATTCTTAGATCAGCCAAGAGAATCTTGAGGGGCATAGAAAATATTTTCCTCCCCAACACCTATTTCATCCAGTTAGTGACTAGTTGTTCTTAATTCAAGTTTCTAAAATCCTTTCCAAAATCTTCTGATGAAGCGTTCGAGCTGGTGACCCTACCTCCAGACTAATTCCCCTCCTTAGTGCCCCTCCATTCTGATATAGTGAAATATAATCATGCTAATTCCTGTTTTAACATCCTTGTGGTTCCCCATCCCAGTCAGATATAATCCAGATTCCTTAGTATGGTATGGCAGATTCTGCTGACTGCCTACCCAAGAAGCCAACAATCTCTCTTCCACCTTTAACAGAATCCCAATTTTATTCTTATAACCACACTGCTATGGTTGGTCATATGCTTAAAGAGTGCTAGGCTCCAACCCCAGCCCCAGGGAGTAAACTGTGATTGGTCTAAGTCAATCATGGTGTCCCACTCCCTAACCAAATATTGAGCCTGGGCATATGATGCAATTCTAGCCAATGATATTGAAGGGAAGCCAGCTGTTGGGAGGAATGGGAGGAAGAGGGGAAACATTTCTGGGCGAGGTTTTATCCAACTTAAAAAGAGTATAAAAAGTTTACATAATGAGAGTAAGAAGAGAAATCCCTTTTCTGCCTCCAGAAGTAATCTTAAGGGTATGCTGCCTGGAGCTGCTGTAGCCAGCTTACAACCATAGGGTGGGGGAGTCAGGGTGTGGGGTGAGGGGAAGCCTAGAAATAACAGAATAGAAATACAGAAAAATCCTGGGTCCTTGATAACATCATTAACATCATTGCTAACTTAACCAACCCAGGAGCAGCCCTACATATGGACTTATTATCTGAGATACTAAATTCATTACTGTTCTCATTTTTAAGTCTGTTGAATCAGGTAGTTCTGTCACTTATACTCTCCTAATTGATACATGTGGCTTTCAGTGCCTGATATGATCCACCCCCCAACATCCTCTGAGCTCCCCAATAGGTATTCTCACCCATAACCCTGACATATTTACAGTTCTCAGAATTGTGCCTTCTCTTACCTCTGAGCCTTTGTACTTGCTATTACTTCCACATAAATGACTTTCCTTCACTTCTTTACCAAATGAACTCCTGCTTATCCTTCAAAACTCAACTCACATGTCACCTATGAGCTCCCCCAGTCTGCCTAGGTGCTTCTTTTTCTCTGGTCTTGTAGCACTTGGCTCATGGGTGCTTCTATTAAGGCAAGAATAATTGTTTTAAAAGCTGGCAGCTTTGTGGGGCGCCTGGGTGGCTCACTCGTTAAGTGTCTGCCTTCGGCTCAGGTCATGATCTCAGGGTCCTGGGATCGAGCCCCGCATCAGGCTCCCTGCTTGGCGGGAAGCCTGCTTCTCCCTCTCCCAATCCCCCTGCTTGTGTTCCTGCTCTCGCTGTGTCTCTCCCTGTCAAATAAATAAATAAAATCTTTAAAAAAAAAAAAAAAGCTGGCAGCTTTGTGAGTGGACCTGGTACCAGTTGTCCTGATAGGAAGACAGAGTAGCTAGATTTGGGACCTTAATGGGTGTGTTTGGTCAAGGAAAGTGGGATCCGTAGGCTTAGCCTAGGTGGA